CAAGGCAGTCTGCGCCAGCCAGCACCAGAGGCGGGTAACAGCCACCACGGGTGTGCTAAAAGTACACCCGTTAGCACCGGGGAGGCACATGGCTGTCCACATCTATTAAAATTGTATTTATTATGAAAAAATAAGTGGCAAGGGAATGTCCACAGACCTACCTTCATTTTGCATACAAATATCTTTATTTTACTTATAAATTTCTGCAGGGCTTGGGAGGGAATGCTTGATACACACATGTGCCTACTGAAATTATTAAATTCTTTTTGTTTCTGAATGGCCTGGTCTGCCTGCTGAGCAGTAATTGCAGCTAAGTCTGAGTCAGCTCCTGTTTAAGTGTATCCCTGCAAATAAGCTGTTATTGTGGCATGCCTTCCCATGGAAACAAGCTAAGCCAAAAATCTCATGTGTCCCTCTTTAGCAAAGCTCTCCTCCAGGGACCAGCCAACAAGTGCGTCTCCATTTCTGGGATCTCAGGGCCATGTTCAGTAGCAAAGTAAACCTGTTCATCCTATCATTAAAGGGCTGCAGCCAAACTTGAGCAGAAGGAAGTGAGGAACAAATGTATGGTCAAAAAAGTGTAAGTGGCCAAGCAGTGACACCAGGGCCTCTGTTAACAGTACACTAAATAGCACCCTTGTATCTTCTTTGGGTAGAGAAAACAAATCCCAATTCTTTGCTTCCTGTGCTGTGCTGTTGCCTTCTTTTTCCCCATTTTTTTGGCCCAATAACTCCCCTCTGTTCACATGGTCACAGCAGCTATAGCAGTGGCTCTACACTATTTCACCTATTTGCTCATCAGCGTAGACTGGACTCTACACGCCTGTGACTGCACTGAAGCACTCAGCTGGCACCCAGCTGAAAGTGCTTCCAGGCTCAGAATGGCACTGGGTAACGTGCCAAAGAACAGCCACCTCTGGCTGGTGCTCTCAAGAAGGGCGAGAGGTCTCTGGATGATGCCACTGGAAAGAGTTCAGTAGAGCTGTGGTTGTTCAAGGACTGGGGCAGCAGAGTGGTGCAGGGGTGGGATGAGAGGAGAGGTGTTTTCCAGGATGGGTGCTCTTGGTTTTGAGATAGCCAAGGCAATGGCACACTACGCAATCACCCAGGCGAAGGAAATGAAGGGGTGAGACTTCCCTCGGGCAGCTAGATAGTTGGGAGGCCTCAAATCTAGTAGTGTCCAGGAGCATGTGTACCCTTATTTTAAGATGTACTATGGTCCCCTGATACACAGGGGGACTATGTGCAGGAGAAATGTCATGTTTTAGAATTCTTATAATGACTTATGTGGTTCATGTTGCAGCCTCTATACCCAACCCCAAGCCCACAAGAAACTGAAGAAGAAAAGCAGTTGCAGGCACTGTTTGAGCAGATTTCAGGAAAGGTGAGTGCAAAAGCCTTGTGGGTCCTAGCAAGATGTAGACAGCAGGGAGACACTTCTGCTCCCACCCAGGGCCAGGTGAAACAAAGATGACTTATACTGGGAGTGTGCTTAGGTGTAGTGTGTTATTTGGGCACCAGATGTCACCACACCTTACGTCTAGATGGAGAAGGGTGCAGTCCCTGGTGAACAAGCAGGAGGACCAAAGCTAGAACTCAAGCTCTGAGAGAGCCTACCTGGTTCAGTGTCCAGCTGCAGTTTATTTTTCTTTGAATTAATGGCTTCTGCTTGAGATCTTCTTCAGACAGCCTTATGCACAGCAGCACTCCTGTATTTTGCCAGCCCTTTAGTTTTTAGCCTTTTCTGGCTTTTGTATGGTTCTCTTTTCCTGAGTTGCAATAAAGTACAGATGGGTGATGTTTATGTTTTCTGAGGTTTTTGGTATGTCTGATTACAGAAACATTCGAATAACAGATGCTGCACTTTTTTTTCTTTTTTTTTACTTTAGGACATGTAGATAGCTGCAGAACTCAAATATGTTCTGAATGCTGTATTAGAAAAAAGTGAGCACTGATAACCTCTAAGTTAAGGGCTGTAAAGAACTATATGAAAGCTGCCATTAAATTCACTTACAGATAGAAAAATGAAGGCTGTTATGACTCCTGCCTGGTGTCCTCCAGCCAGCCGGGGCAAAGCCAGGAAAACATCTGGTCCATGATCTAACCAAGAGCTTGCCCTGCCTCCAACATGATCCATGTCACCTCAGTGAGGCCAGCTCTCCATTGCACTACTGCTCTGCTGTGAAGAGACAGGCACTGGCTGGGACTTGTAAGACCTGGACATAGTTCGTGACCCTGCTACAGACCTTTTGTACAACACGAAACCTGTTGCTCTCTGAACCTGATCTCCTGATTTACGAAACAAGGACAGTATTTTCTGTCACACCTTCAGTAAATGCCTCTTCTGTCTGGACTGTGACTTCTCTATAGTGAGGGCTGTCTTCATCTTCCACTTCACAGGTCCTTCCACAATGAGGACTAAGATCCAGCTATCTCTGCTTATGAAATCCTATTTCCTACTTTCAGTTTATAAAAGGCAGATTTGCCCAATGACTTCTTTCTTATTATTTTCCTTCTTCAGCAAAGAACATCAAATTCAAGAACTTAAGTCTCACGTCATGCCAAAATATAATTTCTCTTATGGATGTATCTTTTGGAATAAGTGCTTGTGAGGCTAAATGAATACTGAATATAATTGTCCATAGCATTACCTGTCATGGATATCAGAGATGGATGTGGTAATGTCATGGCAGAGCACTACCCAAAGAAGAACAGTACATGAAAGCTGTATCCTGATTTTTATTTTAGAAATTTAGGGTTAGGAGCTTCAAGACTGACCATTTTCTACTGCAGATTTAGAGGCAGATACTTTAATGCTGAGCACTTCTAAAAGTAAATTTCAAATTACTTCTGTATAGAACAGTGCATTTTGCAAGCTGTGGTTTATTTGAAAAAGGCCTAGAAGAGATAATTCACAAAAAGTTTGTGGTTAAATTCACCAGAGTTGTGCGTGCAAGTTATGGGTCAGAAATTAAGGATCAGCCAAGTGTTGAAAATTACTGATATCAAAACTGTGGGGTTTTTGACAACCAGACTGAAAGCTGGAAAATCTGGTCTTTCAGCTAGATCCTGGAACTCCAGGAAGATGACATGTGGGCGAGAGTTGCCTGCCCAAATTTAGGCATTTGTGGTATAGGTGTCTACATCTAGGCTAGCTTTCTAGACTTCCTTTGTAGATAGAGAAAAGGATGGTGTAATTATGTTTTTTTCTGGATGCACCTAACTGTGAGGGATGCTAAATGACTGCTTACACATTAGATGAGATGAATGACAGCCTTGGTACTTCCCTGCCAGATTCGTCCTTTGCAATGTTCTGGTGCCTGCTGAGTTTGCTTAACATGGCTTCTCCTTAAGTAGAGCTGATTTCTGCAGTATGCTTTCCTGATAGACAATTTTGTTACACGTGAGACAAAACAGATACAGTCCTAACAAGGCAAGTATCTAACATTTGGTTTAAGTCTTGCTTGTTCAGCTGAGAAGTTCTTATCTTTTGCTTTTGTTGCTCCAGTCCATGACAGAGGTACCATCCTCTCAAACATTTCTAACAGAAAACCAAAACAGACAAAACTTTCTCCTGTTACAGCTATGTCCACAATGTTAAAATTCAATGCAGAGCAGTCACCATGCCTATGTAATGAGAAACAGGGGACCAGTCCTAAATTTTCTCCCTAAAAAACCAAGCTTCAGTAGGGAGCTGGTCCATGGTCACATCTCATCCTTACATGGTATTGGGACAGAGCCAGGGTCTGCACTTGACCCTGGAGCATGGCAGCAGTCCTAGGTTTACTATTTAGGATATAACTAAATAGTTTCCATCATTTGCAATGCTTCCAAGCAAATCCCTGCATAGTTTTCAATAAATGGGGAGACATCTCTTCCTCTGCTTTGGAAGCACAAGGAACGCAGACACAACTATCCCACTCTGGATATGGCATTTGGAGCACAATGGAAGAGCAAAATGACATGAATGCAAACCTGAGTCAACGCTGGCAGTGTCCCCTTTGCGTCATATGCCACCAAATTCCCTGGCTACAGTCACCATGCGGTGGCACAGAGCGGGAGCAAAGTTCTACATGACCCCAGGAAGAAGAACCTGGCTGGGTAAAAAGACGGACTTCTTGCAGGAGTGGTAACGTCCTTGGGATCTGTGGGTACCCTCAATAATGTCACCAGTGTCGGTGCTTAAATAACAGCAGGCATTAGCTAGACCCCACCAGGCACATTTTGACCTTTGTGAATGCTCGCTGAGCTAGTGTCATCTGAGCAAGGGCTTTGTCCTGACACGTAAGACGGAAAGGGGAAGGGGAATGGGCCCATTCTTTACTTAGCATTTCAGAGCAAGTGTCCCATCCTGCAAGTGAGCTGTGCTTGGGCAATGTCAATAACTCAGTAAAATAAGTATTAAGACCCTCACACTTCAGGCAGAGGGAAGGCCAGGCACTCTCACTGCCTCTCAGAACTGCTATGCAGACATTTTTTTCAGACCTTAAGGACCAGATTTTGCCACCGTCACTTCACAACTCCCATTAATTTTTGGTTAAGCCATTGCAACAGAGCCTGGTCTCTAGATAAAAATACCAAAAAGCACATTGGTTGACTAACTCATTTGAGTACAGTAGCAATTTTTTTTAATCAAGTAATTTAATTCTCTGAATCATTTATATCCCATTTACATCCAAAGCTGTTATTGCCTTAGAACAATCTGTCTTTCTTTCTCCTGTGGAGCCTGCATTGCTCAGCTGTGTTTTTATGTCACATAATGTCCCCCAAGTATCAGAGCCACAGCCATGACTGTAACTGCTTGAGCTGCACCTCATGAGAAACCCCAATACCGGTTTCAGCAGTGCCATAGGCTTTCCAGGCAACTTAACATTTTCTGCTTAAAGGAATAGCATGGATAAATTCAGACTGAATTTGGACCTTCATGTAACAAATCCTTTTCCTTAATTCAGATTAGCAGACCAGTGGCAACGGAAAACTGGAATTTAGTGAGTTCAAAGTTTTCTGGGAAAAAATGAAGAAATGGCTAGTAGGTGACATTATTCATTGTATTTGTTTCTCCATTTCATTAGCTATTTCCTGCATAGTTTATTATGTATGCACAGACAAAAATGGAGACAGGAGTGTTTACAAGCCACGAATTTTAACTCAAAACAAATGTTTTAAAAGTATGGGGGCTTGTTTTGGATAGTTAAAGACATTCTTAGCTTTCCATGATGCTAAACCATAATGGTTTCCTGGAAATAACAGAGATTTTTGTAAGCAAATCAACTATGTTTGGGATAAAGAATGCAACAGGCACTAATAAGCAAGCCAATCAAAATTAAACTTGAGGCGTTTCCATTACTGCTGTTGTACAGAAGAAGAAAGTGATGATTCATGACTAGTAGGAAACAATCATTTCCTAAGTCACTGCATTTCCATTATTGATCTCTGGAGTCAACTGTACTGAAGTCTAGGAAAGTGTTGATTCTAATTTTAAACATATTTCCCTGCCACTGTATATGGCAGTAAGAATAAGCAGGCTTGCAGAATCAGGCCACAGACAGAATATTCAAATAAAGACATCATAATTGTTTCCTCATGGTCATTAATAGTTTCTTCTGAATTCATGCTTCACCCAAGCATTCAAAATATGCAGTTCTCTGCTTCTTGTCTAGCCCATCAGAAATGGCAAATGCTTTTTCTGGCTACTAATGCCACATCTCTTTTAACAAAGGACGCATTGTTTTTTAACAAGGGGGCTTGAGAAATCCCTGTATCCTGTAGGAAGATTTGCACATATACTTGCTGGAAAATTTTAAGCTGAATGTGACGACAGCTCTAAATAAGTTGTATTCCAAGGGAGAGTCATGTTTGCCATCTCATTAAAAGGATGGAATTTAACTCCAGCTTAATAATTATTTAATATTTAGGTCAAAATTCAAACCATCTGTACCACTTCTCTTGGTTGTACCATGAATGTGGCTGTTTAGATCTTTTATACCTAAAAGCAAATGAGTAAGTGACAATCTTAACTTCATGTTAAACAATTTGTCTCTAGCGTTCAGAATTATAGAGAAAAACATAGAACGAGGTTAAGAGAATGTGTCAGTTAAGAGTTAAAAGACAAAGAACAATATGTCCTTCCCAGATAATATAACTTTTTTAAAAATCACTCAATTTTTTATGAAGAGCAACTCTATTTTTGAATGCTTGGGTTTGGCAGTCCTTGTTTAAGTTTCACAACAACCTATTCATATGACAAAGAGAACTGGGACCCAGATTTGCTCCTCAGTTACAAAATCAGACTGGATCTGGACCAAAATCTTGTCAGTTTTCTTAAACGCTTATGCTACACAGTTAGAGATAATCACCTTGCCTTTCTATGCCATATCTGTGCCCCCTTTCATATGCAAATACTGAACTTTCCATGTGCTACTTTCATAACAGAATATCTTTCTTCAATTTGACTTTGATAAATCTGGCTCCATGTCCTCCTATGAGCTTTGCACTGCTCTTAAAGCTGCAGGTAAGACTGGACTGCATTTTATCTGGGAAACCTGTCGGGCAGATCAGCTGTGGGTGAAGAGGGTTGCAACCAATTATGCAGGCTGGGTGCCCCTGAACAGAGAGGACATCTAAACCCCAGAGAGGACCTGGGTACCTAGAGAGGGCACTGAGTTGGACTAATTTTGCGCCAGGTATCCCCAACCCTGCCAGGCAGTCAGTTGGAGCAATCTTTACATTTTTATTGAGCTCTGTTAAACTCAACAGGGCTGCACATGTGGAGGGTTAAACCCTGAAACAATGCACTTTAGAGTCCATCTCCACTCAAGGGTTGGAGGAACAGTAAGCTGTTTGTCATGAAGAGCAGTCAGTGCATTTGTATTTCATCACAAATTACTTTTATTAAGCACCTAGTTTTGCAGAAATCCCTACAAATTTCAAGGAGACAGAATGGTCCCTCATACATTAAAAAGTGCATGGGCTAGAAACTGCAGTGACTGGAAAATTTCTTGTTCAGAGTTTGTTATTCATTGCAAGCTTAAAGAACTTTGTGGTCAGATCGCTTTCTGGATGGATGTGTGCCACAGAGTATCCTCCCATTAACTGGTTTTCAAGATTAGTTAGTGGAGATCTGCAGATTCCTCTCTGGACTACAAGTTTGCTCACTTTTCCTTTGTCCATGTGTCTTTGGGAAGGATACCAATTCAACAACTGCCTGCTGCAACTGCTTGTCCTCCGAAACTCTGACAAACAGCTCCAGATTGAATTTGATGATTTTCTGAACTGCTTAATTTGCTTAGAGAATGCAAGTTCCTAAGTATCTTCTTCCTTTTGAATTTCTTCCCCTTTGAAAAAGAATTGTTCCACTTAGGGCTGTCGTTGAGTGTATTGCACAATATCTGAGATCAAGTGTGTACATGGCTAACAAAAAGGAGTTGCGTTTAGCATTTGCTTTTGGGATGGCTTTTCTCCTGTAAAGTGAAAAATGTTCCGCTGCTAATGGAAAATTTCCCCATGTGAATAGAGCCTGCTTCATAAACTCTGCAGCAGCACAGAAGGCATGTGAAGAATGCTGGCAAAGTCCATGTTATAGCCTTCCTTGTGGCTCACCCACAAGCTTAATTTGGGATCACAAAAGTTCAAGGTTCAAATAATGCTTGTGCTTCATGCAAAGAGATATTTGGCATGCGCTCAGGCAGGTATCTCCTGTACCTTTTCCATAACTTGTCCACTTTTGGCTGAAGCTATGGTTCCCTGTACATAGAGGCACTCTAGGTCTCAGTTCATTTGTGTGCAGGGTCACTCTCGTTCCAGAGCAGCAGTAGTAGAAATAGGTAAAATGGCTGGATAAATGCTGAAGTGATCATTAGTGTGGCTCCAAATTCAAACCAAATGCAACTCACTCTATGAGAAGCAAAATGAACTTTCTTACTGATTTTTTTTGTTTTGTTCTTCTCTTTACTTTCTGGTTCAATCTGTGGCAATAGAAGTATTAAACTACTGAGATAGAAAAGTTAAATAAGATAAATAAAGAAATGCAAATTGCTTGGTTTTATTTCAGAGTATCATCCAAATCTGACTCTTTAACACATCCAGGACACCCTCTTCCAGCCAAGTCCTGAAGTGAGACTTGCACAAAGGCCTTAAGTCAGCAAGACATTTCCTCTTGCAAGGACTTCATTTTGTCAGAGCAGCTACCACCACCAAGCAATCCTTAGCAATCCGCGTTTGCACCAGGCCCTCCCTCTCCTTGGCACCGCCACCCATTGTTGTGGGATGGGGAGCTCATGTATGAATATGAATGAGGTGTATTTATAGCACCAGTGTCCTGTTTTTCATTTCAGGAGTATTCCAAGCACCGAGTGTGAAAAACAAGGAGTTCATTAACCTGAATATAGGCGAGGTATGAGTACAGCTTCATAAACAATGACAAAATGATGGGGCTTCTCTAGAGCTTTGTCCTCTTATACGAACTGGAGTATTTCTGCATGACATTTCAGGTGATGTCTATGTCCGTGAGAGTGCAAGTGGCATCTGCCACAGGTTTCAGCATGGCTGGGATGTTACAGTGCACGCACTGATTACATCTCCTCCGTGCTATTTCTTTCGTTCCTTGCCCTGTGGCATATTGACAGCTTCGCATCCCCATTTCTAGATTCTCTGCTTTTTCCTTCCTCGTGTGCCAGCTCTTGATAGGGGAAAGGGGAAGCAACAGATGGGGATGGGGGTCTTTCACTCTCCCTGAATCCCCCAGGAATTCAGATCAGTCTCAGCCTCTCCTGTGCACATCCATCATCTGCTTCTCATACTGCTCAGCACAGGCTACTTATTTTTTTGTGTTCTCTTTGTCTCCCTGTTGCATGTGAGTTGTCTCTCATTTTACACTAACACAAAGCTTCCTGGGCCAAGGCACAGTGAATTCCCTGGCACAACAAATATGGGAGCCTGTGTAGACTTCTGGGATGCAAACAAAATCATTGCCGTTAGAGGCATCTAGTGCTTGGAGAGCTCTGCCTCCTTCCCTCCAAACACAGAAGTAAATGCTGGCTAAGGTTTCTCCTTAGTGACAGGACATAAAAGCCTAGTGAGCAAAGGTCCTCTTCCCTGCGTGGGGTAAATTCAGAGCAAGGCACTGCTTTTGAACATATCTCTTTCATTTGGGGAAAGGGATGGGGAGGGAGAAGGGCCTGAAATAATTTATTGTAAAGTTGATCTTTCTTCCAATATTAGTTTATCAACATGGCAATGAACATCTGAAGAAGTCTGACTTGGATGCTGGGAGTTTCTTGTGACATTGCTGCCAAGAATTCTGCCCCAACAGCTGAGGTCCCCTTCGCATGCAAACTTTACCAGGAGATTTCATGTGGAGGAACATGCATGCTGCCTACCCTTTCTGGTCTCCAGCCCTGCTGATGAGTTCAACAATCAGATCACAATTTGTTTTTATTTTTGCTAAAGCCTGATACTACATTTGTTACTGTGAGAGTGATTTGGATGGGGCACACATGCCTCTCAAGCAGTCTGAAACTGATGTCCCTCAGTGACCACAGGTTTTTATGAAGTAGGATTGTGTTTAGTTTCAGTACAGCACATGCTACAGTGATTTAAAGTCATTATTGCTGCTTGGCTACAGATTAGTGTAAGGTGCTTTTGAAAATATAAAGTTGCATAAAACTTCATTCAGTGTGAAATTTATTTCCAGGCATGCTGTGTGGCTACATAACAAGTCCCCTGTCGTAGCCACATGAATTGCAGTCTGGTGGACTAGAAACAAAGGAAAACTAAGGAATGTATGGATGAAAATTCATCCTTGAATATTTATGACAGAGGTCTCCGGTCCAGGCTTCCTTAGAAGGACGCTTAAGCTAAGGTTTGACATTCATCACAGATTTAATTTAGGGAAAAACTGTTGCATCTCACCTTCCCTTAGTCCTTCCTCTGCTACCAACAAAGTTCCTCTGCTACACACTTTGCTCTGTGGCCAGAGAGTGTCCCACAAGCCAATCTCTGCAGAGTTGCAGACAGCTTGCCCTCATCTGCAGAGAAACACGTGGCCCCCAAGACGGTGAGCTCTTGTGTGGGGCCATTTTCCTCCAGGCAATCCAAGATTGTGTCCCACACCAACCATGCTCCAGAAGAGCAACTATAATAATTTTAGATGAATTAAATGTACCCATTGGTACAGCCCTGCTCTCTGCAACTATTGCTATTTTGCATCTGTGACTTACATAGTATTATTCATGTGACGTGGGTAGCCAGTGCTGACTTAAAAAATAACAGTAATAGCAGCCAGGGACTTAAGAGGTCTTCATGGGATTTGTTTCCATGATTATCTTCATAACTTATGACTATTTTATAATGCATCAACTGTCTGGATTTGTTTTCTAAAACCTTTTTTGCAGTGAAACAGATGGCCTTAGAATGGCCTTGCATTCCCTACTGTCCAGGATGACTGAGACAGCCAGGATTTTGTTTTCTCTAGATTTAGACCTAATGAGCATTTCTGGAAGGCAAATCAAGCTGCAGTAAGGGTGAAGTTCAAGCAATGAAAAGATATAGGGATCATGATGTTTAAAATACCCACTTTCTTTTTCTCTAACAGTTATAATCTTGTAACTATGCAGAAAATGCTCTGGAGCTAACTGGAAGTGGAGCAAAAGCTAATGGTTGCAGTATTTGATTAACTGAGGTGCTCAGCCCCATGAGGTGTATTGATTTGCAGATGTCCTGATTGTATGCCCTTTTGACAGCACTGGAGGCAGCTAAATTTATGAAAGTTTGGATTAAAAATCTAACCCATCCTATAAACATTCGGCCGCATACTTGAAACAAAAAATCACAGATCCTTAATTGGTTCGTTGTGCAAGCTTAGATGTGGATCCAAATTTGTTGTAATACAGCATCTTTCACAAGCTATACAGAAGAAAAGAGATGTCTCAATTCCTGACATAACCAGTGTAGCTTTCTGTTCCTCTACACAGAGGTGGGAATGTCTTGGCGGATCAGGATCTGTATAAGAAACTGATAAATGTTGAGGTGGGAGCAATGGGGCACAGGTAAAAAACTCCTCTATATTTAAAAGAAAATTTATGCATTTAAGAAAAAAACATCCTGAGGTGTTTTCTGCCCACTCAGAGCAGTTGCCTGCTGACCGTTTCACAAGGAATGTGGGAGCTAACATCTGAGTCCCTTATGAATCAAGCCTCTTTCCTGGCCAGCCAGCTCACTGCAGAGCCAACTCCCTGTCCTACCTTGGAGTTTACACAACAACCATAGCCACAGCAGAGGTGCATGTAAGCACAAGAAAACCTGTACATATGACCGGGCTGGCCCACGGCCACCCAGAGTCTGTTGTAGCACAGTCCCTATCTCACCACTTCGGCTATAAGGATATTATGGGTGCCTGTGCTGAAAGCCTTGCTAAAATCGAGGTGAAGAACAGCAACTGCTCCCACTTGTCCTATGTGCTGGACCATTTTCTTTCTGCATTGAAGTAAGGCCCGCCTTAAAAAGGGGAAAGTAACCTTAGAAGTAAGTGCTTGTGAAGATGGAGGATTATGTAATCCCTGGTAAGGGGTTTTTTTTGGTCTGCTATTATACTGCTTGTGTGAGTGACTGAGTGGGCAAGTGAGAGACATTTGACTTCACAGCCCCATGCGAATATTATAGTCCTTCTCAGCACTGCACCTGCCTAGTGTTTGAGGAGGAGCGCAACTCAGTGCCCAGAAACAGACTTGCTGGTCTCCTTTTCTTTTAACTAAGGATCTTGAATTTAATGCTAGACCTTGCTGCCTTCTCTGACATGAGATATAGGTACGTTTGGCTCTGTAGCATTACTGGAGCTGTGGCAAATCACTTACGATGCTCTGAAAGCTGTGTGAGTGGTGCATTCCCTAATTTGGTACACACAGACCTTGTTAGCAAGAACTGACTCATGCTGGGAGCCCTGCCTGTCTGCTAATAGCAACATTAATGGGGAACATGAGAGACATTTTTCATAATTATACTACTGGAAAAAACTAAAAATCACTTAGCTACAGGGTTGCAATCTGAGCATGCTCTCCCACTCCCTCACAGAACCAAAAAATCTCTCTCCAAAACCTGCTGCTAAAGCCTCAGGCCAGATGTTAGTGGGAGCTGGCTGCTGCCCTGGTGCTCGTTGTCTCTCCTCTGCTCCCCTCTGCCCTCTCGGTGGCCTCAGCTCCCCAAGATGTTGGGCAGTGCTCAGAGACACGGCACGTTTCTGAGTTTAAAGGAACCACATCAAGTCAAGGCATAAGCCTTTTGAGAGGGGATTCATTTGGAATTTGTCCCAAGCTCAGCCACCTCCACCACCCTAGCCACCCTGATGGTAGATTTGGCAATGGTGTTTTCCTGTCTTGAAGAAGGTTTCCTGCCCAACCTGTTGCTGAGGCCAGAAGGGATATAGTTAGTGAAAACTACCATGAAAAGCTGCCATAAAAATGTAAAGAACCTGAAAAATAGTGAAATTTCATTCTGCCATTTCTCCGTGCAGAGACAGAGATTGTCAATAAACATTCTGGGCACAAGTGTGGGCAGAAGTATCCCATGCTTCTTCAAAAAGCTCCCAGGGAGCGGCTCAGCAATGCTGAGTCTTTGGCAGCAATACTTGCCTCAGAAAATAGTATTTTTTCACGGGCCAATTTTAATCCTCACTAGGTTTTTTTGGGGGCCCGCAAACTCATGTGTCAGCACAGGGGGGTGCAAGAGGCATTGTAGGGGTGGAGAGCAGGGGGAAGAAAAAAGTGAAGTCTAGCCATTCCGCTGCTGGCAAAGCCTCCATATTGTGGCGTCAGGCAGGAGAGATACTAGAAATGATGTGATGGTTCACCCCATTTATAACAGTTGTGGTTGCTTCCAGTCATGAAAATTAAATATTTGTGAATAGATACAAAGTTATCTAAATAATTTTAATTTCATCTGCATCATCTCCCCACTTCTCCCCCACCTCTCCCCTGAAATATTTGAGTCTTTGTGCTTTTAGCCTCGTGGCAGCATATGTTTTGGAAGTACATCAGAGTGCTGAGGGCAGTTTGTAATGTTCCCAGTAAGGCTGGAACTTCAACATTTTTAAAATTAATTACAAATACTTGCTGATTGAGGTAAACACACAAGCAGTCAGCAATTGCCAACAACTATCTTTTGCACGTCAGCCACTTCTAAGGGCAAGTGTGTTACAAACTGCTTGCCTAAAAACTCTAATTAATTTTCATCCCTTGCCCTTTGCATGGCCCTTCAAGGGAAGTTAGCTCTGCTGAGAAGGGTTTGGCCTCCTGGGTAGCCTGGATACCTCTTTGGGTGTTATCCACAGTGGCAGAGTCGTCAAACAGGGCAAGGACAGCAGCAGGCACTAGTCATATGCCTGTTCTTCTGGCCCAAAGAAATTATAGCCATAACTCTTCACCACCATTTTTTCTTTGTTTTTATTTAAAATGCCCTGAACTAAAGTAAGACAGTGTATTCATCCCCATGTCCCCCAATTACACAGTCAGGAATGGTGAATATTTTCATTTTCAGCTACTTCATGAGAATACTCCCAGTGTACTTTTTTTCCTGGTCTTTCAGAGAGGAAAAAGCGTTTATCCACTCAGATCCAACAAGGCATCATGATCAAGAGTGTCCATGTTCCATCTGCCCCCGGGGTGCAGCCAGCTGCCTGCATGCCTTGCCTGAGACCATGAGGGCCAAATTCTCTCACACCTTTGGGACAGCCCAACAGGGGGGAGAGGGACAGGGATGGGGGTCTCCCCGTGAGTGCCGCATGGCCACCTCGCCTGGCAGACAGCCCCCCACCAGGGACACAGCCCAGACGCTGCCCTGATAAGGAGGGCACTGCCAGCATTTTGTGACAATTTTATCCAGTTGCTAAGCAGCTGGATCCCAGGGACACAAATACAGTGAAAACAAACTGCCCCCAGGGAAAACGGCTGCGCTGCTCTGGGAGGGCACTCCCCGCTTTGGACCCCGTGTCTTCCTCTCCCCTCCTTGCTCAGGCACACACAGTTTCGTGGAGCTGTGCCAGGGTCTGTCCCAGGACCTGTGCAAGGGTGACTGCATGTGCAAGGCTTTGAGAAGGGGCTCTGGCAGCCAGGGTCCAAGCTGAGCTGTCTTCTCTGCTTGAGGAGGTGGCAGCCCACGCCCCCCCCAGCTGCGGCTGTGTCTGTGCAGGGCAACATTAAACACCACTGGGGCCGGAGAGCAAAGCTGTGTCCAACTGTCCATCCCAGCACTGCTGG